GGCTGCTAAACAGATTCTAGAAACAGCTCGGATTCCTTCACCATTAACTGGTTTTGACAACTCCGTAGCAAGAAATATAGAGTTTTTGCTTGATATTATGGACGGAACCACAATTTCAGAAGAAATTCGAAGATCAATTCCATGGTCATTATGGAAAATTTGGAAGAATTGGAATGCGATATTGTATACTGGTACACAAGAAGCCATTTCGATCATAGTAAAGCGGATTGGTGAGGAATCACAGCTTTGGAATGTTGCCAATAACAAGCAGATGCAGCAACAATTTAATGCTTCTTTGGCTTGCTTTGTTGGTGAAAAATGGCAGTCCCCCACACCAGGTATGATAAAATGTAATCCTAATGCAAATTGGAGGAATGCTTGCTTACATAGTGGTGGAGCTTGGTTAGCACGAAATCATCTTGGACAAGTCTTGTTTCATGCTCGTGAAGCTTTTACGTCTTCTCCGAACCGGACCATTGCGTAGTTCCGTTGTCTAATCTGGGCGTTACAAAGCCTTTTAGATTTGCGGGTGTCTGAAGTTAGAGTGGCATCAGATTGTCAAGCCGTCATTGAGGCCTTATCAAAACCATTGGAGTGGCCACGCTATAGACTTTTGATCCTGCAAGTCAACAATTTACGTGCTAGGTTCGTCGCTTGCTCATTTGAGCTGGAAGCAATTTGCACAAACACCATTGCTCGAGATATAGCAAAGAGTGTATTGCAAGATGGACGTTTCCAATCTTACCTAGCTTTAGGAGGACCAGCTTGGTTACATGAACGTCTACAAACAGAGGCTACGGTTTGATTAGCATCTTCTCATCCTTACTTTTAGGAATATGATGCTTGTTGTTGGTTTATTTCTCATTTTTGGGTGTTGCGAAACTCAGTTGTTATGGTTACGATCTTAATAAGAACTCCAGCGTTAAAAAAAAAAAAATCTTTTATCTTGACTTTTTTAGTATTTTATTTTCAAGTAAATTTGATTATGTCTTTCCAAAATAAGAATTTTTTTCTATTCATGTCTAAAATAATGACTTTTATTATATTAAATTTATCACATATTTTCAAATAAGTAGTTTTTTTTTTTAAATTACTGATTGAATTAGGGTTTTTATGTATCTGTTCCTATATCTATTTTTCCAAAATCTTGACAAATTGGGTCTCATAGTTTTAGTTGCAAACTAAAATTGAAAATTTCAATAAGATTTCATTCTCATAATTGATTTCCAAATTTTGGAAGAAGTGCATGATGGACATATTTTCCTACGTTACAATAAATCAAATTACAATTAGATATTAATCAAGTAATTAGTAATACATTAAGACTCTTATTGGTATAGAATAAAAATACGTTAACATTTTCATCAAGTAATATAAAGATTATTCCTATAATCTCATTATTTTCATAAATTTTCTCGCCTCCCACTTTCTGATATGATGTATTACTTAACGACACTAAACAGTTTTCTATTTAACTGGTCTATTGTTAAATAATTGATGTTTTTTGGGTGAAGTAATCATTGATGTGATGATACCTACGTTGTAAATAATAAAACAAAAAAATTGAGTTTTTTTATTAATCTCACAAACTAAAATAGATCGTCGTACTCTATCTGAGCTATTGAATAAGAGAGTAGTCGATATTAGTTTTTATTGGAAAAG